ATATAGCTACAGGTATATAATGCAAGGTATGACGATACAAAATGCAAGGCTTACGATGTCTGTCATTTTGTGGTCCAGACCGGATAATTGAATCATAATGTAGTAAATGATAGCTAGACTCGTCAGAAAAGGCGGCGTGGTGTAACTGGTGCATCAATGTGCATCTTTAAATTTCGCGTTGCAATCGTGTATTTGTGTGCCGTATCGTCGAAGGAAGATGAAGCCATAATTAGTTTACTGATAATCCGGGGCACAGACATTAGCGCATCATATATGCAAATACTCAGCACTAATTTCTGTTCCATGGTACTTAATATTGATTTACAAACACAACCAGCGTCCTGACCTAGGTTACATGATGTTGCTGTACCATCTCTAACAGCAATAAGAATAAGATATCTTTCATCTAGGACATTTGTAAAGAGAACCGTTGAGACCCCGCATGTCGCTCCGCGTGATCCTCTTGAATCTACCGACTGCAGATTCCCATAATAGTCACTGGATCTCAACTAACGTGAGCAGAAATTGTGTGCTTCGATAATGCTTACTTTTCACTAGCCTGCTCTGAGATGCTGCTGCGGGACATAACGCAAACTCTAACAGAAATACGAAAAAGTAAAGTACTGTTTCTGAATGAAAATTCGGCATTTCCTTTTGCCCTATATACTGTTTGGAGGTGGCTAAACTGGTGGACATGATTTGCACATGCGCTGCAATGCTAATAATTTGCATGTCCTATCCAGGTCTACGCGTGGTGCTAATCTCAAGCCAATTATTTGCTTCCTTCAAGGTATTTCATTTTGGATAGCCAGCAATGTATTTCTTTCCTCTTTAAAGATGTAAAAGGTTACAATATATCATCAGTACCAGTGCCCTTTGTAAAGCCTTTTGGTTTCGATTTTAGAGATAAATTGTGAAGAATAATGTCTATGACACAATTCAGTTCGAGTATTCCTAATTTTATAGTAGAGAAAACATCAAGAAGGACCAGGGAACTAAATACACTTGTGCGCAAAATTAAGAGAATTTGCAAATTATGTCTAATTTTACGAAATTTATTAATATGCCGCTGAAGAATTATGCAAATATTCAGAGCTAAATATGTAAATGCACATGCGGTCTAGGATTATGGAGTGATGTAAATGCAGGAGGTGTTTTTGGCGATTTGTGTACTCGTACTCCTTCACCGTATTGAATAAATTTTATAACTTATCAGGTAAAATGAGTAGTCACGAACGTATGGATGACGGAATGAATTGGACAATCGTCCGTAGATTGGAGGCAGGCCAGTCGCAAGTGCAGGTGGGTATATCACTGTATAAGGTATTTCTTCCGCCTTCTTAGCATGCCTTCGTTGTGTAATGGCCAGCACACTCGGCGCGTATTCGAGAGGTCTGTAGTTCGAGTCCCCGAGTAGGCACTGCACATTTTTCATGACTCTTGCTTCGAAAATATCTTGATGTCTCTACAGTGGCGCCCGAACTAAAAAAGGTGAAGGGATGAAGATTCTCCACCACCAGGATTTGGCGATTGGGTCACCTAATCTCCAGTCGCCCTTTAAAAGCGGAAGTATATAAGTTATTTTACTCGCCTTTTTAGCATTGTCTTCGTGGTATGGCCAGTATACTCAGCGCGTATTCGAGAGGTCCGAGATTCGAGTCCCTCATTTTTCATGTCTTCTGCTTCTAATGAATCCACAACTGTAACACCTAGTGTCATCTGAAATTTGTGTAAACACTTTTAAGACATTGATCCATAATAAGAACATCTGGACAAGGTCGACTAAGATCCACAATGATGAATGAGAATCGTTAATTAGCACTTTCAGCGCGGGAGACAAAGAACTGCTACAGCTTTACAGCTATCGCTTGAGCTGTACGCTGCCACCGGAACTAGAGTTTCACGTTCTACAGTTACCCGAAGGTTTTATAAGATAGGGCTGCATGCCGAAAGACACGCTATTTGCGTCCCGCCCACTGCAGCATATAAGAAAGCGCTTTTAGCATGATGCAGACAACATGCGCCTTGGACCAGATTTCAGTGGAGCACCATGCTGTTTACGGATGAGTGGAAATTCTTCCTAGAGTAGGATTCTCAGCACGATACTAACCCTTCCTTACTTGGGAAAAGGATCATTACGGTGGTGGCAGGCCCACCAGCGGCCGAGCGGTAAAGTCGCTGAACACTGGTAGTTCGGTCCGAGGTTCGAATCCCGCGAACGGGCTGGCTGCATGGGTGTTTTCGTGGTTTTCCCCATGTGTAACGTGTATACGAGCCAGTTTCCCTTAGAAAGTCCTCCACGAAAGGCATCCCTCCCCTTAGGCAGATAGCCCTAGTGTGCTTTGCCGTAATTAAAATACACACACACATACACATTACGGTGGTGGAGGTGTGATGGTTTGGACAGGCATTATGTTGGATGGCCGCACACCCCATCATGTATTACACAAAGGCTACGTGACTGCTATGACGTAGGAGATCTCACAGACTTTTAGGGGCGCAGTTGGTCCTGAGTTTCTGGTAATGGATGACAATGCTCGTTTCACATGCGGCTGAGTTGCTCGACGATTACCTGAAAAGGGAGGATATTGCCGCATGGATTTGCCAGTCAGATCTGCTGAACTTAACCATGTAAAACTTATCTAGGATTTTCTTGGGAAAGGCAATTTCAACTTACAGTGCTAAACCGAGAATCATGCCGGAGTTGAAAACTGCCTTTCTCCAAGACTGGGATCGAGTGCTATATGGACTTGTTGTGGCTTGAATTTATACAGAAAATTTAAAATACTGATTAATATCGTTTTATTTGTTTTTTGTTTTTTTCAGAATGGCAACAAAAATTGAATAATCTTTTTGTTGCCATTCTGAAAACAACAAAAAACAAATAAAACGATATTAATCAGTATTTAAAGTTTCTGTGTAAGTTCAAGCTACAACAGTCTGTTCAGTTGCCTCCTGTCTAGTAGGCCGTCACACTGTGGAAGCTGTCTGGATGCAAGAGCGGATCGTACTCCATATTAGTTTCATTTTCAGTTCGATATCGCAACCTGCTTTCATTAAAATCTGTCCATTGGTTTTTCAGAAATTCAACATAATATGCAAATTCCCTTAATTTTGCATACAAGTGTATTTTTGCAGTTCACGCAGATAATGAATATTTTAACAAATTTTATATCACTAACACAAGAAAAAAATATTAGTAAAGTAGATTTGAACAAGTCAGAAACGTTAACACGAATGAACGGCGATATTTTATTGGTTGAAGATCTAATTTGATTTTTATGGGAATACATTTCATTGCTATACAACTATGTAATTACCATGCTGGTGTTAGTATTTTGTCAGATAATAATCTAACACTTACAGGAGCACCATAATTATAACGAAGATTTTTATTGAAAGTTAATTTGAATTTAATAACATAAGTCATGAGACAGAATCTTTGATCATTAGACCAAGTTTTGTCAAAGATTAATTCATTAGAAAGCATTTCTTGCACTAGCGCACAGAGCTTGAATGTTTTGTGATAGTTTCTCTAATAATTGTCTGCACCAGAAATGCAACAAATAAGGTTCTACGAAAACTTCTACTCAGCTTAGTGCCAGTAAAGCAGCTTATGTAACTAATTTTTAAACTGAATATGTTAATGTGAAGTCCTAAGATTTATGCAAATAAAAAGTTAACGCTTTTCTTCACTTTACATATTTTTCAAATGATATGTTCTTTTTCCGAGTAGTATGTTAAATTTCTCCTGAAAGTAAAGTTGAAAAATAGGAATACCGAAATTGACAACAACTTCAAAACAATAATATATAAAACACACATACGCTTCGTTCCACCACAATGAGATGTATAGAAACAAACACGACACCAAATAATAATTATTTTACATCAACACTGCCAAGTCATACAGTCAAAATTTACACTTACATACAATCAAAATTTCACTAATATTATATTTAAATCAATCAATTTAAGGAATTCATGTGTTACAAGATATTTATTACAGCAAACCCTTATTTAACAAGCATCACATCGTGCTATAAAAAATAAAACAATCCATTGTACAGATAAGATGCATCAACTAAAGGAATGCAGACAGGCTGTGTAGTTTCTTATAAGAGTTGTAGAGGTACAATTACTTGCATTTATGCGTCAGTATCATTTGTATCTTATCATACGAATTACGAATATGAAGTTAAGTTTATGAAAAATACAAGGAGAATAAAATAAATATTTTTAAATGTTTTGTTGGTTTATGCAAAATTAACGAATGATCAGTAAAACTGCATTCTTTGATTATTCAAGTTCAAGTGATTTATATTCGAATTTGTTCTGAAATTCGGTCTTTTCATTCTTCAGCATAACACAATTTTCCTTTGTGCACAATAATTTTTTTTATGTATGAAAATGTTCCTTTATGCATCATTAAATTTTCCTAATAAATCAGTCTTTATTTATGCAATTGGTTTTCTTTTTACTATAGTATAGGTCAAAGGTTTGACAAGAGACTTCTGTGTGATTTATCATTTAATACTTTAATAATATGGAAAACGTTTGAAACCAGAGCTGCTTTTAGAAGAAACAAATGGTTTAAAAGGAGTGCAATATTTTGCTAATTAATATATGTTATTCTTGGCTTTTTAGACCAACTATTACTTTATCTAAGTTGAATTTTGTGTCATTCTAAAATTAGACGAATTTTGTACCACATTAAGCTATTTGAAACGAGCGTCTCTTCTATTTGAGTTTCCTGTGTTATTGTCAGTGTTGATCTTAATTCTTTGTTGATATATGTGTTGTAGAGTAGATTCAGAGTAAAATAACACTTGATACATGCATTAGTCAGTGGAGAGATCGAATGTTAGCATCACACATACAGATAGAAAAAGTGATTTTAAAGGCTTAGATATTATAGCATAAGTCATAAATTAAAATAAAAAGGAGAACTGAAAAGTGAGAGAGCAAGATGACCATACCAGACTACACCGAACACTTACAATCGAACTCACTCTGCCAACGTTTGAGACCAGCTTCAACACCCAGAGGACTTTTGGAACGACTCCCCATGCCCCATCCGGCCCAATTACCAAGGCGAGAGAAATAGCGGATGACGGCAGGGCTGGAGGTTGGATTCTTGGGCCTCACAGAGTCATGTGGATCAGGGACCTAAAAAAACAATTCCTGAGCCAACCTCTTACTTAACTTATTTTCATATTTCATATGTTCTTAAAAGTATTCGTAGCTAGAGCATCTTCAGAATCTTTCAAGAAACGTCTAAGCACTAAGGAATACGAATTATTCTAAGGAGTGGGAAACGAATGTTCTCTGAAATCAGAACTCAGCATTATTTGTTTCTCCCAGTCATTTGAAAAAGTCCGACTTTTATGTAGTTTAAAATTTAAAAAAATGATTTAATTTAAAGTTACTCTTACAGAATAACTAACAATAAAGCAAACAAGTTATGCAAATAACTAAAACGAAAATTCATCCAAAAAAAGTACATAAAATTCACTAGAGCACTAAAAAACCGTAGGAAAATTGAAATAACAGTATCTCCCTTTCTAATATTATATAGTTTGAAAATAATATCAAATGAATGTCTCGTAATTTTATTATCTAACATATAATTTATTAACTTATATACTTTTTAAAATAAATACTTAGTATATACAATTCCGCTGTTTATTAAAATCACTTCCGTTCCAAGTATATTTGATTGTTTCAGCGACTGAGTTTAAAAAATGCCGATTTCACTGTTTCAAATTAAGGATCAATTTTGGACTTATTTTAGTAAGATAGTAACTAACAATGAATCTAAAAATTAGTATCTAAATTATTATTAAAAATTAATTCTAAAATTAAATTATTCGCGAAACTGGGAAATTAATTAATTTTTTTTTTTTTACAAAAAATTTTTATAATTACCTACCTGATGAAATTGTAAACTTTTACGAAGAACTGCACTATCCGTACATGTTTCGCATTGTTCGTCAGTCTTTCAGTTGTACTTTAAAGTTCGGAAAACTGTTAGTAGCTTTTCTTATCTCCACCTTTCAAAGTTTAACAGTTCTTAGAGTTTGTAGTGCTTTTCTCAATACAGCTGAAGTTGGCATGTAGTCACTTTATTCAGTATCACTTTCACAATGAGCTTCAGTTTCTGCAGCTCTTTTAACGCTTTCTATAATACTTTAATCAGTGTTTTCACAGGCTGTCTCAATATTATTTTCAGTTGCAACGTACAGTAAAAACAAAACCTTCCTAAGTTTCCTCACTGATGTCCAAAATATTAGAAATAGTTTGCAGTTTGTCTTTGGCGTCTATATCAAATTCACATTTTCTAAAGCAATATCTGTGTTTTGGGAGACTTCTTCCTATGCGTATAATACTTACCTCTAGCAAAGACATCCACTTAGTTATCTCATTTGAAGTGCTTACATTTTCTCAAGGTTAAATTTTGTTTATCTTTTTTTGAACGACACCTTTTTCTGTAATTACATTTGAAAGTTTTTATAATACCTGGCTCCTAATGAATGAATGACAGAAGTCGTATTTGCGGGAAGAAGCGCTAATTTAATGTTTTCAGAAAGATATAGGAAGACGGTGAAACACAGTTATGTAACAGTAATGTTATTTTTTCGTTTTTCAGTTCTCTGTTCCATTTCTAAAGAAAACCAGCAAAAATACTGGTTGTCATCTACGAATTCTTGTTATTATGGTAAGTTAGACTCTTGACTGTTTTTAAACACCGGGGTTTTCTACTCTTTCCAATAATCACTGGCATCGTTTTAATTGTGGATTCCATATTTCACGCAAATAACACAGTAACTCGTTCTTTTAAGATCTTAAAATCAGCTGCTGTTTCACGTATAAACATTAATGTGTGCTCCGGTAATGCTCTGTAAAATAGACCAGTTTCATCTGTGTTATAAATTTCGTGTGGCTTGTATTCTTTTAAAAGCCCGGGTGAAATGTCTTTTGCCCATTTCACAGCCGAATGATGATCTGCCCCATGCGTCTTAACATGTAGCTTGTGATAAACAATGTTATTTCGCTCTTTCCATCTTGTGAACTATTCATCATTTGTCACAAAATTTTCTCCTAGCATTTTATCGAACTCTACCGTTTCGTGGTAAAAAGAGATCGAGAAAAGGGAACAATGTTTAGTCTCATAGCTTGAAACCTTAGTCTCGTAGCTCTTCGTAGCTGAAAAGCGGCTTCAACGTCTGTCGATTTTCTATTCCTTTTGGGCTTCCTTGAGACATTTGCATTTTTACTAGTTCTTCGTCAGTTTTATTTCTTAAGTAACCTGCACAGTAATGTTTCGGAAATCACCATTTTAAAAGCTGCTTCTCTTTTGCTGCATTTACGTATCATAATCTTTCAGCAATTTATCCTTATCTTTCAGGCTTAAAGCATTTAATTTAGGCACTTTCAACATGTTGCAAGTCACGCACACAGCAAATAAAAAAATTTTCTTTCAGTGATTTGTTCATATTCAAAATTCCCTTTTCTTGCTAGCAGGAAGACTGAACCTTTGCTTGTCAAGTCGATTTGTTACTTTATGGTTATTATAGGCGTAATCAATGGTTTCTTTTCAGCCTGCCACGACCACTCCTCGTTTCCTATCAAAGACTGATAATGCAGGGAAGTACTTCATGATATCTTCTTAGAACACCCTGCAAACTTAATGTGTGTATGCCTATCCATCCCCTATCAGCAGGTGTTCGAGAAAGGGAACCAGCATTCACTTAAGCACCACATATTCTTTAATCCTTAGAAACATTCATTTATAATCACAGGACTTGTTTCCAGTGCCTCTAGGGGACTGCTTTTGTTAATTATAAGATAAAGGTATTATGTCGCTCTCAGCTCTAATCCTGGCAAATAGATTTGTAAACAGTGTCTAGCAGGAACTGGGAAGTGTACCCAACACCTCAGGGGTTCTTGGTTCTTGATCTAACTACACTGGCTAAAATTTCCGCTAAATCCGTTTTATTGAAGCACTACATAGCTGAAAGGTAAGTGAATAAATTATAAATAGTTTTATTAGCCACAAACAGTTAATTCTGGGTCAGAATAATCAGACTTTCGCCAATTTGAGTTTTATAAGAGACACAGATGTGTTTAATAAATAGAGGGTTTTATACTGATTAGTATAAATTCGTTTTGGTTCCTGGAAATTTGAACGCAGTAAGCGGCTGAGTTTATTAACCAGTGAGTTTAATAAGCAGCGGGTGCTGTATATATATATATATCAGATACAATGACAAAATATACAATTAGCAGCGGGTACTGTATCTATACAAATAAGATACAATGACAAAGTATGAAAATCATCAGGGTTTTAAGAATATGTAAGATTTGAATTGGTAATGTAGAAATAATAACTTTACATTTAATTTTCACAGAGAAAATAGTTTTTACCTGTAAAAAGTTACTAGATTTCACAGAACCTCCTAGGCTGTCTTTCCTTTGCGATTCTGAAGCTTGTGCAACCAAACACGGCCCATATCCTGTTGTGAAACCATACAGCATTTCAAGGAAAACCCTGGGAAAGTTGAAAAAGCTAATTATGAGGAAAGATTTAATATTATGGACAGTTTATTTATTTTTCATTCTTTTACGAAATTACAAAATTTTTTGTTAGACTGCTTTAATGCACCGGGTGTATCATTTATAGTAGTATTTAATTACAGAGTTTGTAAGGAATTAAAGGCATTTCTTCTGACATGTCTTTTTCGTATAGTGGACAGCTCATTCGGTTTACAAAGGAACGTCTCAAATTCGATTCACCGTGAGTTCGTTTTAGACTTTTCATGACTCCCGGATAAGCTTATGACTTATATACAGGCATCCGAATTAAACTATTGTTGCGTGCATAGGGATTCGAAAGATTGAACGCACACAAGTTCGATGATAGGATGATAAAAAAGTTTATCAACCTATTTATATTTTGATAATTATTTATTTTTTGATAATTATTTATTTCTTTGATAATTATTTATTTTTTTGATAATTATGTGATATTTATTATTAACCTGCAATTATTTTGATAAAATTTATTTTATCAAAATAAACACTTCAGACATCTGAAACTTTCCAAAAAAATAGTCTTACAACTCCTCACAATATCACAGAGTGAAATCAGTAGTTACACTTCAAACTACTACGAACGTTAAAGAAAACGGAATGGAAAGTGCAATCAAAGAGCGAACCCATACTCGAAACTCACGTTGAGCTAACAGCTAACAACGACAATAACTGATAGCAGACGCTGTCACCGGCCTGGAGCAACTGGAATTCCACTTACACTGCTTCCTCTTCCGGAACTACAGAGAGTCACCATCGCCACAGCGAACGTAAAAGGACAAGCACTTAGCTAGTACAAGGGGATTGGAAAGTTCCTGCCGTGTGATCCAGGTTCTCAAACGTTATAAGGTATTTTCTCCCTTCTTACAGTATGCCTTCATGCTGTAAAGGTTAGCATATTCGGCGCGTATTCGTGAGATCCTTGGTTCGAGTCCCAGCCAGGGCATTGCTCATTTTTCACACCTCCTGCTTCAATTAAAAAAAACCTAATGTCTTTACAACATACTGCTGGGAGACATTCAAAAACGCTGTGCTAAAAGCGTTCCTAGTAGAAAAAGACAGCACCAGGCTGGAAACGGAGCTCGCTACTAAATATCACTCAAAGGTTGAAGAATTAACATGCTTTATTATGAGTTAAAATTCAAATATTCAATTTATTATACGGAAAGAGGCCAGATGTCGAGTTAATAGATGTTACTTTACCAAATCTGCTTCCCTCTATCCAGGATTACATGGAGGTCAGAAACCCAAACACGTTTGAAAGCCTATTTGAACTCGCTGTGAAATTTGAAAGCCTATTTGAACTCGCTGTGAAATCTGAAAACCGGCGAGCTTCTGAGAAACAACAACAACAAACTCTTATAACCGCTCCTGCTACTGAAACACGATAACCGCTCCTGCTACGATAAACAATAAAGTCTGAGTCATTTAAATGCATAAGTTGCATAATTGACTTCATGGCATTAAGAGTAGAATTGCATTTTGCCAAAATTTCCAGTGAAGGCAATGGCGATGGAAAAAGTGTTGTTCTTTCTTTTACTGTTATTGGACAAGACGTGATGTAATGGAGAGCTCCTGCAAGCTCTCCACTTGTCCCGCAGCCACATCTTGTGTTCTTTTTATGAAATCTTTGCATATATTGCGGAAATTTACCATGATTTGTCAAGACTTGGATTTAAAATGTGATCTGAATGTATGCGAGAGAGAGAGAAATTAATGGAAAAAAAGGCATAAGTCCTCATCCCATCTTTGCTGCCATGTTTTAAGCGATTCTTGCAGGATTTGATGTTTGGCCGAAATCTCTGAAAGTGGCACTTCAACATCTATCTGATCTTGTTGTGTTGCTTTTTTTGCTTCGGAATCTGCTCTTTCGTTCCCTGCGATTCCCCTGGTTCCCTGCGGTTCCCTGTGAGCTTTAAATCCAATTAAGCTCTAGAGGAATGGGAATCTAAAAAGTGTTTTTATGATTTCCTTTAAGGCTAAGAATGCTTCTTTTCGTAATTTTATCACTATTTAAACTTTTAAGGAACTACGACTATCTGTAAAAATACGAATAGGAATGTTGTCAGTTATTGTGGAACCTATCCAGATGAGTGCTTTTTTTAAAGCAAGAACCTCTGCTTGGAACACGGAAGCCGTATCATTTAAAGTCTATAATTTCTGAATGAACTTCGTGCCCATTGTTGTACATAACGAAAGCCGCACCTACATGTTTACCAATCTTAGATCCATCTGTAAAGATTTCGATATTTTTCTGTGTTGGAGTATTTTTATGCCAGGGAAGTATGTCGTGATGAGCATGGTGAGTGTGGAAGCGCGGGATTCTTTCTTCTAAGGTATTGTACCATATAACAAGATTGCTTATTTCCAAGTTTTCCTTATAATGAATTAGTCTAAAGAATTTTCTCTCCAGAGCTTCTGAGAAAGCGCGTACGGCGAGTTTTGGCCAAAGCCAATGTTGAGATATTTGTAATCGCATTCTTGTAGGTTAAAAAGAAGTATAGCTTTCTGTCATGTCCGATGCATTAGCTTTCTGTCAGGTCCGATGTATTCTGAAACTTAATCCCATTCTTTATGTTAATTTTGATTGGTTGTTTTATGTGTCTTGTTTTTGATTTGTTAAAACATGATATGTTGTAAAGTTATATATATATAAAACCTCTGTAAACATTTTCTCTCTCTGCGTATCTCTCTGTAATAAATGTTTGATTTTCGAACCACGGCATTTTCAATGTTCAACAGCCAATACTCGAGGTTTTCGTCCCGACAGAAACCACAGAATAGACAGAATCCTCATTACAAGTCTGGTGCGACCACAGAAGGCGGTAGCAAAAATACGGGTGACAGTAACGACAGCAAGAAAAATGGCGATCGCTAAAAAGGGAAAAAAGAGAAACAAAGGTATTTTAAACTGATTAGGGTATCCGAGGAGAGGTTCTGGTCGCTTTCACTGAAGTAAAATCATTCGGTAGTTTAGCTGCATATTGTTACTGTGCAAAAATTGGCTTTGCCTGAGATTCAAGTCTTATTGGCGCAGTGCAGTGCAAGAATTTCTCAGAAAACATTTCAGGAGGCACAGATTATTTAACTTTCGGGGCAGAAAGTAATTGCTACCCAAGGGAAGAAATACTAATGCCTTGGGAAAGAGGGCGTACATGTTCAAATTAAAAATGAGCATCAGAGAGTTACGTTTCTTGTCGTAAACCATTTATTAGCTTCAGTAGCTCAGGGGTTCGACTTTTTTGCGAGCGACAAGTGCGAACTTGACTTTTAAGAATTCTACTACTTTGCAGGTGCAAATGGACGCTGTGCATGAGGACGTAGGCTCAGCACCTGAACTATATTTGAACTATTTACCGGAAAAAGAGAAGAAAAAATTGAAGGCATAGAACCTGGAAAACACCCAAGAAGTACAAGCACAGAAACGACTGGCAACGTCCCCACCCCCAGCGAAACGCCAGAAGAGAGCAAACGTTGACACAAGGAAAGATAAGGTTCCAGTGCCGGCGCACAAGAGGAAACAAGTACAGGCAGTCGACACAAAGCCAACGAAACTCGCTCGGAGTGGATCTGAAAGAATTCCATCTACAGCCAGCTAAGGGCATGCACAAAATAGTCTGAGGTTCAAAAGGCCCATAAAAACAACATCTATCCCGCAGATAAGGAAAGTCAAGAGGAAGGTCCCAGATTCAGAAGCGAGACGTGGCCTTCACTCGATGAGTGTGTGTGTGTGATTATGGCAAAGCCTCGAGGGCTATCTGTCTAAAGGGAGGGATGCCTTCGTGGAGGACTTTCTTAGGGAAACTGGCTCGTACACACGTTACACATGGGGAAAACCATGAAAACGCCCATGCAGCCAGCCCGTTCGCGGGATTCGAACCTCGGACCGAACTACGAGTGTTCAGCGACTTTAACCGCTCGGCCGCTGGTGTGCCTCACCCGATGAAGAGGAAGCCAGAGTTCAAGTTTCCGCAGACCCGAAGTATGCAAGGGCGTTTTCCCGCAAAAGCACTGAAGCGCAAAGAGAAGCAAACTGAAGAACAACCGCAAAGACTTCGAGTCAACTACATCGGCAACTACAACTACAACTACTGCTTCGCACGCGGGAAGAATTCTTGCAGAAACGAATGGCGCAGTTCAAAGGCGGCAAAGGTAAGCCAAGTTTTTTTTACTTTCTTCTTAGTTTAAATTCAGTTTATGTCATACGCAGAGAGTTGCTATGTACAGTTTAGTTTTCTTTAAAGAAGGACATTTTTCAATTGTTATAAAAACCAAGAAGCTTTAATTTGTTTCGCACGTTCGTGATGATGTAACGTATTAAAGATTTTGTCGAAAAGGCTCAGAATTACGAAAAGAAAAATTATAATTTTATAATTGTGGCAAATAGTTACAGCAACAATGTACCTTTGATGTAAAATGAATATGAATTTTGAAAAGTTTTATATTTTTCTTCACTGAGTGTGTAAAGTTATTCTGTTTTAAAAGTCCATGTTTCTATGTTAAAAGTAGAAATGCTTAGAAGTACATTATTGTGAATGAATGCCAATGAGCTACATACATGAAAACATGAATGAGCTAAGTTAGGTTCTCCAGGTTACACGAAAGTTAAAAAGAACTTTCGCGGTTAGCACACTAGACATAGTGGAGAAACTAGGGTGTTTTTCTAGTTCTTGGAAGTTCAGTTTTATCTAATAATCTAATATTTACGAAGAGGGTCAGGTGGTAGCTGTTGCATATTACCCCACCACAGAAACACTATCTTATTTTACAGAACAAACTTGTGGAGTGTGTGCGGAAAATTAATTTTATGAGAGAATGAAATTGCTTGACAACTACATAAATACGATGAAATGTGACTTGTTCTTGAAAATGTAGCAAAACTATCCTGTGAATAGCGTTACTAATGCTTTTTTCTTTCGGATATATACTGGAAGGAGACCCAAGAGTTCAAGTAAACGA